TCATTCGGGAAATATTCGTAAAAACATTACGTTGGTCGTCACTATTCGTGACATGTAAAACTTTCAATGAAGTATGCATTTGTTTAAATAGTCAATGTCATCATTATATCCTGTATATAATTTTGTTTAATTTTTTTCATCTATTTTTTCCTTTTATATTAATCAATGCAAGAATATTGAAGAATATTAATGATTAATGACAGTTATGATGACAGAATATGGTGATATGTGATGGGAACAAAGGAGCAAAGTAGTGCGGCATATGACCATAGAGATAAAACAAGTGCTATGACATGGCAGTTAACTGATGCAGCATGACAGCTAAGTGATGTGACATACGACAGTTTATTATGATTATAGAGATGACAAAGTGCCCTGACATGACAGTTAACTGATGCAGCATGACAGCTAAGTGATTTGACAGTTAACTGGGACATCTGACTGTAAAGTGATGTGCCATTTGGCTCACCGTGACGATGAGTCTATCATTCTGCACATACTATCAAGTGATGTGCCATTTGGCTCACCGTGACGATGAGTCTATCATTCTGCACATACTAGTTTCTTCCAGACATTTGATGTAGCAACATTATGCTTTTCTAAATAGCTCTGCTCATGTTCCATATTATAGTGATGCTGATGTAACGCAGCTTGCTTGGGCTGAATATCCTAATCTAGATCTTTGTCTTTTATCTTTAAGTTTTGGGTTGTTGAAGATGTGATACGAGGCACCGTTGTTTTTTGTTGAAAGTTGGTCGGCTATGTTTTATAAATATATTTTTGATGTTTATTTAGAATGCTAAGAAAAATAACTTTCACAGAACTGTCCATTGCTACCTGCCAGATTTTAGAAGTTGAAATGACTATAAAAGAAAACTTAAATTTAGAATTGTTACATTTTTTGTATATGATAAAATAAAAAATATATGTATGATCAAATTATCAAAGGGCACCTTTATGAACAACTTATATTTTGCTTTTAACTCTTTTTCTATTGACACCCTTATGAAAAGTTTAACTTATACCAAAATATTATTGGCCTCTCAAGTTCCAGCCTCTCACGTTCACTTACTGGAAAAATATTGACTTATGGGTCACATGTAGCATAACTCTTCCTGGCAAAACCAATATTTCTACCAAAGGTCATATGTCAAGGTCATATGTCAATCTAATAATCTAGTGTTTTTTTCGTGTTTTTTTTAACTCCATTATTTCAGGGAGTCCCAAACTATTGTACCTGTTAGATGCATTTAGAATATATTATTAATTATATACAGTGGAACTTTGCTTTTGGCAATGGGCTTTGCTCAGTGAGGTGTAATATATATCTTTGGTTTTGATCTTTCAACTTCGACCTACTTCCAGGAACCAATGGAATCCAAGTACCAAGGTTCCACTGTATTTAATTATTATGACTTGTATTTTTATGTTTATTCGTTTGTGAAATATTTATTCGGTGCTTTTCACCAATTCATTTCCCTCAAGTTATTCCATTTGAAATACTTTTGTATTTTCACAACTGTTTTTTGCGACAGAATTTCATAACATTGTGAGGAGTTTCATTTCATTCATTATCGTTTATCATTTTTTTTTTTTAAATTAATTTTGAACATTTAATTCATCAAATTTTGTTCCCAGTCTCTTTGTTGACTGAAAACTTGTGAACATAAATTCCATTGCATTTATTTTAAGTCATAGGGGAAGAAGAACTTGTGAATATTTTTTGTTGCAATTATGTTTATAAATAAATATACCTGTATAGTCTTAGTGCACAAATGCCTGTTAGTCCATATCAATATACAAATGATTTTAATTCTTAAATGACATGCACCATGCTCTTCCTAGAGACAATGTCCTGCCCAGTACAGCATGTCCTGCTCACATATACCATGTCCTACTCATAATGACATGGAGTCACCATGTCCTTCTCAAGCACCATGTCCTGCCCACATACACCATGTCCTGCCCACATACACCATGTCCTGCCCACATACACCATGTCCTACTTAGAGACTATGTCCTGCCATGTACACTATGTCCTGCCCGCATAGGCTATGTCCTACCTAGAAAAACAATGTCCTTTCTACAAACGCAATTTCCCACCAACAGATGAATGTCCCGCCCACACAAATACTCATATGAAGACTTATCTTTTATTTTTAATTGATCACAATTTTTCAGCTGTAAAAAAACGTTGGTTTAAGAAAAGATGGTAATAGTAATTGTAGTAAATTGTAGCTGACCTGGAGTCCATTTTGTTGCTGAAAAATGATTAGATTAGTAATTAAATGCTTATTTGGTCAATGTGTATCAATGGTTTTTTAATCTGAGGTCATTGTAGCTCATTGTATGAACTTCAGTAGGCATGTGACATAGGAACAGTTAAGATTTTTTGCTCAAACTAACCATGATATTAAGAGGTCATTCAGAGCTTCACACGACTAAATAAGAGGGGTGCATGGTACATAAAATGTTTAAGGACTCTTGATTATGTCACTGTGACGGTTTTTTGCCCATTCCGCCACTTGTACAGTGTCCAGAATCTCGGCAATGTTTAACCAGTACTTAACTACAACTCTCTCCAGACATCTGATCTGTCAGGGGTTCACTAACTAATGCATTCACCATCTCTTGCCCAAAGGAATGTTCAAACCAGCCAATGCCTTTTCTTCTGGTGTTTAATGCCTAGATCAAAGTGTGCCATGGTGTCATCATTTAGGAAGCAGGTGACCAAACTTTGTTCCCAGAGTGGCCCATCATAACAGCTACTATTAGTAAGACTCCCCAATACCCCCTTCCACCCCCAAACGTGCAAACCTTCACCCCTTCAATTAAATTAATCAAGCCACTTTTTAACAATAAACTGAAGCCACAGAGAATTTTTTTTTTTTTTTAAATGGCCAAATTAAACTAAAACTATTGAGGAAATCAATGTTGAACGTGATCACAGTTAGGTTTACATCACAGGAATGGAACTTAATAGTGCGCAACAGTGCCATTTGTATGATGTAAACCTAATTGTTCTCAATTATGAATTCAATTTTGGGTGTTCCATTTTCATCCTTCAATCTGTATAGTTAGAACAGGGATCGGCAAACTTTTTTTTTTTGTGGAGGGCCGGTTAGAAAATCTTTGTTGGGCTCCAGGGGCCGGTTAGAAAATCTTTGTTGGGCTCCAGGGGCCGGTTAAAAAAACTTTGCCGGGAGCCTGCTAAAAAATCTTTGTTGGGCGGCTCCAGGGGCCAGTTAGGAAATCTTAGCTCAAATGTTTAAATCAAAACACAAAACTGAATCTTATCAATTTTATTGGGTAGAATACGGTATAATGTTGTTTTGACACATATGCTGAGCCATGTTAATACTTGATTCATAAATAGCCTGAATAACTCGACTATTAATTGAACTTAAAAAGCTGATGGCGGGCCGGATGAGCCGAAGCCACGGGCCGTAGTTTGCCGAACCCTGAGTTAGAGTAGATCTACTTTGGTCAGGTTTGATGTATCACATTTCTTCATGCTTTTGTCATTATCTCAAACATTTCTTTTGTAACAAAAAGTCAACAATAAATTTTCAGGCAAGGAAACTTGTTCGATTTTTTTTATATTGCCTTTGGGAAAGAAAATATAATGTGTGCTAGAATGACCAACAGTTTCATGAAGTTCTATAAATAACGTAGAAGAACACAATATTCAGCGCCACTTTCTCACGATTTACAGGCTTAGAACATAGAAGAACACAACATTCAGCGCCACACTCTCATGATTTACAGGCTTAGAACATAGAAGAACACAACATTCAGCGCCACACTCTCACGATTTACAGGCTTAGAACATAGAAGAACACAACATTCAGCGCCACACTCTCACGATTTACAGGCTTAGCTTGGAGGAGGGAAATATGCTTCCTTATATATTTTTTTTAAAATGTATACCTAAAATGTGATCCTGGGTTAATGACCTTGGGTTGACCACTCTAACGCTACCTGGTAAGTTGTGTCCCCGGTACTGACGTGTTGTTGAAATTACCTTCTCAAGTCTTAATGGGGTACGTCCACATTTGTGTACAACAGAGTAGCTTGCCCGTGGTCGCCGCCTACTTTTTTCAGTTTGGGGTGGTTCCAAAATCATGTTTCTTATTTCCAAACTCGATTTCATTTAGTTGAATTAGGGCTAACTAAAACAGACCCAATAATATATTTCATGTATTATTTTAATGTTAATAATTTCTTTCCGTTCTCTTCACGGCATCTTGATCCATTCTATAATTAGACACATCACAATTGTTTAAATCAAACAATATAAGTTCAGCTTTAATAATTATTTTACAAAATACAAATGTCAACTTTTCGACAAATGCCTTCATCGGTACAAAAAAACCAAAACATTTAAATAAGTATAAGTATAGTTGACATAATATGTATTTAATGTGTCCTATCTAAAAATAGAAAAGAATAAGAGAGGGCGCCAATTGTTTGTGTCTAACTAATCTACTTTAAAGCTGTATTGCAGTCCAACACTCTTATAATTATCCATTCCGTGTTTTCTTAGAATAACCATGACAACCACCATGTCGATTTAGCCAAACCATGACAACCACCATGTTTACTCAGCCAAACGATGACAACCACCATGTCGATTTAGCCAAACCATGACAACCATCATGTTTACTCAGCCAAACCATGACAACCACCATGTTTACTCAGCCAAACGATGACAACCACCATGTTTACTCAGCCAAACCATGACAACCACCATGTTTACTCAGCCAAACCATGACAACCACCATGTTTACTCAGCCAAACCATGACAACCACCATGTTTACTCAGCCAAACCATGACAACCACCATGTTTACTCAGCCAAACGATGACAACCACCATGTTTACTCAGCCAAACCATGACAACCACCATGTTTACTCAGCCAAACGATGACAACCACCATGTTTACTCAGCCAAACCATGACAACCACCATGTTTACTCAGCCAAACCATGACAACCACCATGTTTACTCAGCCAAACCATGACAACCACCATGTTTACTCAGCCAAACCATGACAACCACCATGTTTACTCAGCCAAACCATGACAACCACCATGTTTACTCAGCCAAACCATGACAACTGCAAATGACATGAAAGCGGATATGTTATGAACCAACCCATTTCGCTGTTTTCTCTGATATAATATGCTTTATTTGTCCTTCCTGGTCGTACCCCTTAGGCATATTCGGGGACATGAGTTGATTCGAATAAAATAATTGAAAGGACATGAAACATTGCATGAAGCAGTTTCTATCAAACAGACAAGGCAGTTGATTATGATGACCGTATGACTGAAGACGTGCAATGAAGACACGTAAGTGTGCCGCCTCTGTAATTTTTTTTTTACAACACCATGTTGGGTATTGGGCCCTGCCTCAAACAATGACACCAGTCTATAAACCAGGGGTTCTCAAGTCTGGGTCGCGACCCATTTGAGGGTCGAACGACCCTTACACAGGGGCCGCATAAGACCAACGGAAAACATATATTTATGAAGTAGCAATGAAAATAATTATAAGGCTGGGGGGTGTCACCACAACATGAGGAACAGTATTAAAGGGTCGCGGCATTAGGAAGGTTAAGAACCACTGATGTAAACAAATGAGGTGTCTTTCCTACGAGCTGACGTCACGCGTGGGTACGATTCTATGTCATAACAGGACCCGGACATCGCCATCTGATGAGTTCACCACTGATGTAGTCGTAGAAGTCTCGGTAGTTGACGTCATCAGGGGACACGCGCCTCTTCTCTTCAAACGCCAGCAACGTCTTCTCGATGTTTATAACTGGAATAAAACGGGGGGGGGGGGGGAGTTGTGGGTGGGGGAGTTCTTTGAAATAAATAGCAGAATGCTTCATTGACCAAGACTCTACTCCTAACAAATAAAAAAATTAAACAGCAGTTGTTGTTTTATATGGTGTTGTGATTCGTTATTTTCTAGTTCTGTTTATCTCCCTTCTGAATTCGCTATACCCAGCTCTAAATGACTCTGTCCCATTCGGTGCACACTGTGTCCAAATGTGTCTTTCAGTAGATCGAAAATAGCCTTATTCCCGATTACCTCTTACATAAATATGTGTAAGTGTAAGAGCTATTGCAAAAAAGATTTCGTGGCATATCTTCCATTTCAAAACAGTGAGTTTACAACAGTACAACCGGGTTAAGACAATAATTCACATTTTTTTTTCCACCTTAATTAATCAAGCAATGTTCTATTATAAAAAAACAACATGATTGTCGAATGATTCAAACTAACCGGAAGCAGACGGCCCACAATTCCGCACTTGAGTTTCTACTTTTCGGAGAGTTCCATAAATGTTAAACGTCTGCACCTCAAAATTGAGTCTTGACCTCGTTTCGTCAGAGGGTGTCATGGCCGGCAGCGTGGGGTGCTTTCGGAACGCTTTACGCGAAGGCCGAGGTGGTGGTCTTGGCGATCGTGAGAACTGCTGTAAGGAGAATGACAGGATTTTGAAATCATAATGTATAGGAATTACTTACACAGCCCCGAGTATGTGTACAATCCAACTAACTTCTATGTAACCCAGTATGTGGACTATCCAACTAACTTCTATGTAACCCAGTATGTGGACTATCCAACTAACTTCTATGTAACCCAGTATGTGGACTATCCAACTAACTTCTATGTAACCCAGTATGTGGACTATCCAACTAACTTCTATGTAACCCAGTATGTGGACTATCCAACTAACTTCTATGTAACCCAGTATGTGGACTATCCAACTAACTTCTATGTAACCCAGTATGTGGACTATCCAACTAACTTCTATGTAACCCAGTATGTGGACTATCCAACTAACTTCTATGTAACCCAGTATGTGGGCTATCCAACTCACATCCATGTAACCCAGTATGTGGACTATCCAACTAACTTCTATGTAACCCAGTATGTGGGCTATCCAACTCACTTCTATGTAACCCAGTATGTGGACTATCCAACTAACTTCTATGTAACCCAGTATGTGGACTATCCAACTAACTTCTATGTAACCCAGTATGTGGACTATCCAACTAACTTCTATGTAACCCAGTATGTGGGCTATCCAACTCACATCCATGTAACCCAGTATGTGGACTATCCAACTAACTTCTATGTAACCCAGTATGTGGACTATCCAACTAACTTCTATGTAACCCAGTATGTGGGCTATCCAACTCACATCCATGTAACACAGTATATATTATGTAAATCATCCAACTGATATCTACGTAAATAAAACACAAGAAATTGCTGGCGTATCCGAAAAGATGAGAAAATAAACTAACATAGTTTCAAAAACATCAACTGACTTTCCTACCATTAAAAGTATGCTATCAATTAACGAGGTACAGCCGGTGTAAGCGCTGCGAGTAGACCAACGTAGTAAGGCCGATGTAAGCGCTGTGAGTAGACCAACGTAGTAAGGCCGATGTAAGCGCTGTGAGTAGTTGAACGTGGTACAGCCGATGAAAGCGTTGTGAGTAGTTGAACGTGGTACAGCCGATGTAAGCGTTGTGAGTAGTTGAACGTGGTACAGCCGATGAAAGCGTTGTGAGTAGTTGAACGTGGTACAGCCGATGTAAGCGTTGTGAGTTGTTGAACGTGGTACAGCCGATGAAAGCGCTGTGAGTAGTTGAACGTGGTACAGCCGATGTAAGCGTTGCGAGCAGTTCCTATAGATTTGTAATAAAACTTGCCTGTCCGACGCGTACTGCTGTGACGACATCGCCGCTTCCTGATGGAAAATCGAAATCTTGGAATCCGGGGTCCCACTGACATGGGGGTAGAGGCATGCGTGTTCTACTGGTCCCACTGATACGGGGGTTAGAGGCATGCGTGTTCTACTGGTCCCACTGATACGGGGGTAGAGGCATGCGTGTTCTACTGGTCCCACTGACATGGGGGTAGAGGCATGCGTGTTCTACTGGTCCCACTGACATGGGGGGAGAGGCATGCGTGTTCTACTGGTCCCACTGATACGGGGGTAGAGGCATGCGTGTTCTACTGGTCCCACTGACATGGGGGGAGAGGCATGCGTGTTCTACTGGTCCCACTGATACGGGGGTAGAGGCATGCGTGTTCTACTGGTCCCACTGACATGGGGGGAGAGGCATGCGTGTTCTACTGGTCCCACTGATACGGGGGTAGAGGCATGCGTGTTCTACTGGTCCCACTGACATGGGGGGAGAGGCATGCGTGTTCTACTGGTCCCACTGATACGGGGGTAGAGGCATGCGTGTTCTACTGGTCCCACTGACATGGGGGGAGAGGCATGCGTGTTCTACTGGTCCCACTGATACGGGGGTAGAGGCATGCGTGTTCTACTGGTCCCACTGACATGGGGGGAGAGGCATGCGTGTTCTACTGGTCCCACTGATACGGGGGTAGAGGCATGCGTGTTCTACTGGTCCCACTGACATGGGGGGAGAGGCATGCGTGTTCTACTGGTCCCACTGATACGGGGGTAGAGGCATGCGTGTTCTACTGGTCCCACTGACATGGGGGGAGAGGCATGCGTGTTCTACTGGTCCCACTGATACGGGGGTAGAGGCATGCGTGTTCTACTGGTCCCACTGACATGGGGGGAGAGGCATGCGTGTTCTACTGGTCCCACTGATACGGGGGTAGAGGCATGCGTGTTCTACTGGTCCCACTGACATGGGGGGAGAGGCATGCGTGTTCTACTGGTCCCACTGACACGGGGGTAGAGGCATGCGTGTTCTACTGGTCCCACTGACATGGGGGGAGAGGCATGCGTGTTCTACTGGTCCCACTGATACGGGGGTAGAGGCATGCGTGTTCTACTGGTCCCACTGACATGGGGGGAGAGGCATGCGTGTTCTACTGGTCCCACTGACATGGGGGTAGAGGCATGCGTGTTCTACTGGTCCCACTGAGACGGGGAGAGGCATGCATGTTCTACTGGTCCCACTGAGACGGGGGTAGAGGTATGCGTGTTCTACTGGTCCCACTGAGACGGGGTAGAGGCATGCGTGTTCTACTGGTCCCAGTGACACGGGGGTAGATTTATGCGTGTTCTACTGGTCCCACTGACACGGGGGTAGAGGTAGGGAGTAGGTACAAGAGTAGGGAGTTGAAGCAAAGTTCGACTCCTGCAGGAGTGCAAGGGGATGACATTCCTGTTATATTTCTACAGCCAAGAAACAATGACATATTTAGTTCGAGATAGCGGAGGAGAGAAGAGTGGGGGGGGGGGGGATTTTGAGGGAATTCCAAAACATTTTCCCAGGCCTTGACTCCTGACTCCTGTGTGGAAATAGTCATGCTCTACTGGAGTTCCAACAAGGGTCAGTCATGGATGTATTGCACCGGTTTCAGGTGGGTTCGGAAATACAAGATTTCTTCACCAACTAATGTATTAACGGGATGTGTGTTCCCCCCACAGATTTATATTCAAACACTGACTCAGACTTCCAGACTTAGAAGTTTGGAAAAAGGGGGGTTGAGTTGGGGTCGGGTGGGGGGGGGAGGGATGAGGTTGGAAGATAGGAAACGTAATGTTGGTTTTTGTAAAAATGTCGAAGTCTCTCGAATTTATCCGTCACCAAGAACTTGACGTCATATGAAGAGTGCGGAGTAAAGTTATATTTATTACTGACGAAAGACTAAACTGCTTTTGTGACAGAACCTTATCGTTAAATCAACGGTGTTCATCTTTTGTGCAAGAGTTCCATTGGAGTCTCATTCAAGGGTCGCCATTAAGATTAGGACTGAGCCAATAGCAGTTGTGTTTTTGTTGGTTTTTTCACCCGGTCCGCATCCGGGTATTTTGAGCAACTACCCGGTGGACCCTACGATTGTGGTCTGCGGCTTGGTCGGGCGTGGACGTTTAATGTCAGCCTACATTGGTCTGCACACACACAAACACACACACACACACACACACACACACAGGAACGTCTTTCCCGTGGATGGTGCGCAAGATTGTTTTGTTTGTTACACTAGAACACTGTGTCGAGTGGGGGGTGTTCATTTGCTTCCAATCTGAACGTCGTGAGACGTAGTGTGAGTGAATGGTCATTCCTAGACCAAGGATGGTCATTCCTAGACCAAGGATGGTCATTCCTAGATCAAGGCTTGTCATTCCTAGACCAAGGATGGTCATTCCTAGACCAAGGATGGTCATTCCTAGACCAAGGATGGTCATTCCTAGACCAAGGATGGTCATTCCTAGACCAAGGATGGTCTTCCTAGACCAAGGGTGGTCATTCCTAGACCAAGGGTGGTCATTCCTAGACCAAGGCTGGTCATTCCTAGACCAAGGGTGGTCATTCCTAGACCAAGGGTGGTCATTCCTAGACCAAGGATGGTAATTCCTAGACCAAGGATGGTCATTCCTAGACCAAGGGTGGTCATTCCTAGACCAAGGATGGTCATTTCGAGACCAAGGGGGGGGGGGGTTTGCAAACATTTGTGAAAAATAGCCACAGTTGTGATGAATGAAAATAAAAATATGCAATAAAACACTCCTATTATATGTACATCATAAAACACTCCTATTATATGTACATAATAAAACACTCCTATTATATGTACATCATTAAACACTCCTATTATATGTACATCATAAAACACTCCTATTATATGTACATCATAAAACACTCCTATTATATGTACATCATAAAACACTCCTATTATATCTACATCATAAAACACTCCTATTATATGTACATCATAAAACACTCCTATTATATGTACATAATAAAACACTCCTATTATATGTACATCATAAAACACTCCTATTATATGTACATAATAAAACACTCCTATTATATGTACATCATTAAACACTCCTATTATATGTACATCATAAAACACTCCTATTATATCTACATCATAAAACACTCCTATTATATGTACAGCCTAAAACACTCCTATTATATGTACATCATAAAACACTCCTATTATATGTACATCATAAAACACTCCTATTATATGTACATCATAAAACACTCCTATTATATCTACATCATAAAACACTCCTATTATCTCTACATCATAAAACACTCCTATTATATGTACATCATAAAACACTCCTATTATATGTACAGCCTAAAACACTCCTATTTTATGTACAGCCTAAAACACTCCTATTATATGTACAGCCTAAAACACTCCTATTATATGTACATCATAAAACACTCCTATTATATGTACATCATAAAACACTCCTATTATATGTACATCATAAAACACTCCTATTATATCTACATCATAAAACACTCCTATTATCTCTACATCATAAAACACTCCTATTATATGTACATCATAAAACACTCCTATTATATGTACAGCCTAAAACACTCCTATTTTATGTACAGCCTAAAACACTCCTATTATATGTACAGCCTAAAACACTCCTATTATATGTACATCATAAAACACTCCTATTATATGTACATCATAAAACACTCCTATTATATGTACATCATAAAACACTCCTATTATATCTACATCATAAAACACTCCTATTATATCTACATCATAAAACACTCCTATTATATGTACATCATAAAACACTCCTATTATATCTACATCATAAAACACTCCTATTATATCTACATCATAAAACACTCCTATTATATGTACATCATAAAACACTCCTATTATATCTACATCATAAAACACTCCTATTATATCTACATCATAAAACACTCCTATTATATGTACATCATAAAACACTCCTATTATATGTACATCATAAAACACTCCTATTATATGTACATCATAAAACACTCCTATTATATCTACATCATAAAACACTCCTATTATATGTACAGCCTAAAACACTCCTATTATATCTTATGAGATTAAATACCACCGAAGGCGACGCCTCTGTAACTTCATATCATTTAATATCAGCCAATCAGCCAGTCAGCTAATCAACCAGTCAACCAGTCAACCAATCAGCCAGTCAGCACATGAAATGAAATGTTCATTGTAAATAGAAAGCTGTTCATAACCAAAGACTTGCATCGGACTCTGAGATAAATAACTTTTAAAAATTCACACAAGTCTTTAGTTATTTTTCGAGTTTTCAGTTCCATTTAGCTTTCATTTAGTTTCATTTAGCTTTCATTTAGTTTCATTTAGCTTTCATTTAGTTTCATTTAGCTTTCATTTAGTTTCATTTAGCTTTCATTTAGTTTCATTCAGCTTTCTTTTAGTTTCATTTAGCTTTCATTTAATTTCGTTTAGCTTTCATTTAGTTTCGCACCAATCGCTCTTTAGTTTTCTATGACTGTTTACCAGCAACTGTACCGGCGCTTCACTAAGGTAACGGGTTTTGAGGGGAGAGGGGCTTTAATTGACTGATTTTACAAAATATGTCAATTATTGTGCATATTATCTGCATTAATTTGAGTAAGCGATAGCCATAACAATTATAACCATGGGCGCCCGCAGGAAGGGGCAAGGTGGGGCACTTG